CTTTTTATACATACAGAACAGACAGACACACAGTGACACTTAGAACAAAAATTCTTTATTTCTATCTAAGTAATCCGATGATGAGGCAAAATGTGAGAATTTGATGAAAATGAAATTATCTCCGGTATGAAGATACATCACAGGAAAATAAATGTTATGGAAGAAAAGTCGATGGAGATGTCACAGTTTCTCTTCTCAGTGAGTCCGTATCGTGGCCCCTTCCTCGGCTTTTTTTCCATTTATCGGGTTGATTATCCAAGAAAGATCAAGATTTTCTGTCAGTAGAGAAAAAAACAAAAAAAACAAAAAAAAAAAAAACGCTTCTTATTTCGAAAACAGAACTTCCTTTGCTGTGGTTTACTTTTTATTTAGTTAAAAAAGTAAATACAGGTGATAATTTGATTAGTTTATTTATTATTTTTAAAATACAGATCTTAACTTTTAATATTCTTTATGTTCTCTCGTAAGTTCAACAATTGTAATGGAAACAACTCGAAGAAAAAAAAAGATTAAACACCTTTTTTATTTTTTTAATTAAATAGCAAATACAGCAAAGTTGTAATAATGTTGTCTATTACTAACCGCAGCTTCCTTATGATTTGCGTTTATTTTTAGTTTGTTTATTACTGTTTTGGTATTTCTAACCTAAAATAGAAAATATCACGGAATGCTAACTTTTTAAGAGGGAGGGAGGTGGAAGGTAAAAATAAAAATAAATAAAAAGGTAAAAAAATGTTGCTGACTTTTTCTACGACAGTTAACTTTTAGTTCCAGTGGTTCATTAGATAAGCAAACCGCTAAAAAGGCTTTTTTAAAGTTTACTTTAAACTTCACAATCTAACAAACAATAACTAACTACAGTTGGCAGTTTGAATAAAAATAAATTATCTCTGCTTCCAAAAGGAAGAAAGAAAAAGTCTCCACTCAATTTTTTTTGTTACGAGCGGACCAGCCAACTTAAGTAGTAGCAATAAATGAAATAAATAAAAAACAAACAAGACTGAATGCTTTAAAAAAAAAAAAAAACTGAAATAATTTTTTTATTACTTATTTTTTAATTCTTTAAAGTTTTATTTTATTAAACCAAATAGCTGCTTATTAAACAGAAGTTGCTGTTATCAATATTGGTAAATAAAATAATTTACCTGCCTGATAAATTTTTTCGTACTTTATGTGGGAAATGATTTGGCGTGCCTTTTTTTTTTTTTTTTTTTAAGTAAAAAAAGGAGGGGAGGCGATGAATGACCGAGTCAATACATCTGAGGAAGCGGATGACTGACTAATTAATATTAATCTTTTTTTTTTTTTGTAGGTTTTCCGCTGTTTACAATTATTGTCATTTAAAAAGAGGAAGACAGTGATATTAAAATAAAAACCAACCTCAATGTCAGTTTGAGTCTTTTTGAATCAAGTGATGTATCATTGAATCAGGAAAGAAAGGGATTTTTGAACACTTGTTCGAGATGCGTAAACAAGAAGGAGTAGTAAGGTATTTTGTATAGTCTTAGTAGTGATAGGCTTTTTTTTCAGAGTCAAAGAAAACAGTTCGACTCAACTGTACCTCCATTTTCTTCTTCTTAGTCACAGAGACTGCTTTAGTAAGTACGATAGTAGTAGCAGCAGCATTAGTATCAATAATAAATACTAAGTCGAGACATCAGTCAAAAAGCAAGGGTCTGAAGAAAAAAATCTTGCAGATCTTTACACGTAAGGTGTGTGTGTGTGTGTGCAGTAAAACAAAGATTCACCCGACGACACCAAAGAATGTAACTTTTCTTTCGAAATTCGTTTTACGAGCTCAGATTAACTTTTAGGTTTACAAATTATCAAAAAATAAAGAACGTTGTTTGGTAAATAATTATTAACTACACACAAAAAGAAATACCGTCAAATAGGCGAACCTGTAGTTTAGCGCACGGTCGCGAGTTTCATGAAAACACTAAAGAAGCGAGTATCAAATTTGACAAGAAAAAAAAACACAAAGTGTAAGAACCCCCACCCAGGTAAACACTTTTCACGGGGAGCTGTTTTTTTTTTTTTGTTTGTTTTTTTTTTCTTGAAATTTTATGATCAAAAACAACCAAACAAATAAATAAACGGTTTATTTATGTTTGGTTGTTTTTGATCATTTTCAGTCATTTTTTTTTCGACAGGTTTATTATAAACCTGTCGAAAAAAAAATGACTGAAAAAAGTAATTTAATAGATTTGATATTTTGTCTGCAATAATTGACTTCACGCACTCACACCCACAGCAACCTCGGTAATTTCGGACATGAGAAATACAAGATATCCGTCACGAAAATAAGTGACAAGTGATTTTATTATTATTCTGCATAAAATTTTTATTTACAATGCATTCAGGAATTATCAACTATTCAGATTTTCAGTTCAAGCTCATTATTATTAATAATCGTAATTTTTAAAATAAAATAAATAAAAAAACAAATAGCCGAAGAAAATTAACTGAAAAAATATACAGAAAGGAAAAAAGTTATTTTATTTTAGTAATTTCGAAAAACACAGTTCCCTGAAGTCAGGGAAAAAGTTTCTTTTTTTGGCCAAAGAAAAATACTGATCTACATTAGCAACTTTTTAGTTAGTATTTTTAAAAACGTTTTTTTTTTACCCCACGGCGATTAACACGCGCAAAAATGAAAAGGATCTTTTTCTTTGCTTCTTTCATTAAACGTCAAGAAACAGTTATTTTTATATTTTTTAAAGGAAACCAAAAAGTAGTTGGGACTTCTCTCAGTCTCTAACAACTGCTTTTTGCTTTTATGTTCTTTTGTTATTATTTTATTTAGAGATCTTCGGCACTTGTGCTGTGTTAATAATACCTAATAATAATATACTATTATTTATTTATTAGTAACCCGAACGGTATTCCTATAGGTATTTTATTTCAAATATATCTTCTTAATTTCGAAATCAAAATTTGAAACGGTGATTCAAGCCTCACTCTTGCTTGATCCGCTAAAAAAAATAACTTATTATGACGACATGCGGGATAATATGCGTTAATCATTGGTTTAAAATCTGGAATATACCTGTTCAAATGCACCAATGAACAATACGTTTTTTACCTTTGAAAATTAATTAACTTTCTATAGGTATTTCAGTTAATTTTCGATTGCACAGTACGACGATTAAAAACAAAATATCTTTGGGGTTTGAGACTGTGAGTAAAAAAAAAAAAAAAATTTCCGTTCATAGTATTTTGTCGTCGGGTAAGAAATAAATAAGATTTAGAATCAACTTTATTTTTGTGTGCAAATGCGCAGACTACCGTCATTGGAATTATGAGAACAAAAATAAGAATATTTTTTTAAAAAGTGATATTTTCGTTTATGTTTGAAAAGTAACCTTAGAAGTTGATATCCTATTGAATATAATAAAAATCGTATTAATTTCCTTGGTTTACATCGTAAACTGTCTCTTAAAGTCTCGCCGTGAACAATTGTCCGCCAGTTGACAAAGTTTATATATAAATTGTAGATTCATTCATATATTTGAAGAATACTGACATGAAAGAATATTAATGTTATATAAATTGTTATTTAATTTAAAAATATTGAAAATATAACGAACATGTTTTTTTTTTAATTTTTTTTACTATGAGAGACGGAGTATTTGCACAGATAATATAGCAGGCCTGTGTTTTTTGAATGGGGGAGTCGCATGTTAAGAATTTACACACGACTAAAAATTAGTTCACATCATCTTCATGGGTGAGGGGAGTAATTTTCTGAATCGGGGAAGCCCCTAAAGTTGACGGATCTTTCTTTTAGATACTTATTTTTAATAACAGCATATACGTTTTTTAGTGTCTGTGTGTATGTTAACATGTGCATCGGACTGCAAATACACTGTCGATGAGACTGTGGTTTCCATATCAAGCGAATATTTTTTGATGGATTTGGGTTGCTTGCTCAACACCCAGGATGGGATGCTTTTACCTGGCTAAAGAGCGCCAGCTGCTCTACTATTTACTGACAAGTGGCAGGAAGAAGTGGATTCATGCCTTTCTTAAGGGAGCCAGTGCAAAAGGTGAACATAAACTATCTCAGGCAGAGTTAGAATTCAATTCAATTCTCAATGCTGTTGTTAGCCATTATGATTAATAAGCTACCCACATTTTAGTGGGGACACACGTTTTTTTAACTATTGAAATTAATGTCTACCAGCATAGATGATCTTTACAGATCATATACCTTTCTTAGTAAGGATTGAACCTGCATTCACTTTTTTAAAACAACCTTTTAATCTGGTATGCTTTACCATTTCAACCACTTTGGGCTAAAAGATGGTTTCCTAGATAAAGTGAATACAAGCTTGATCCCTATCAGGAGGTAGATTTTCTTCAATAAGACTTTCATTGATCTAGGCAGGTAGACATTAATTCTATTGTTTACAAAATATAGGGATATCTGCTTAAACATGTATAGCCACTAAAATAGTGTTTATATTAATAAGAAATAATGTTGGATTAAAAAAATAATTTCTTTTGTATATTGTTTAAAATTTGCAAGATTTATGGAGAAAGTGTGACTAATATTATCAGCAGCAGATAAACAGTGTGGACATGAAATCAACACTGCATGGTAATTGGCAGTTTCATGCCTAAATTTAAGACTATATATATATATATAATTTTTCTTAATAAAGAAAGCACAAAATATGTTTTTAATAATTAGTGATTAAGATCCAGTCATGTGGTTTAGGTAGTTGTGACTTTCTCACGAGTGCCAGAGGATTGGTGTTTAGGTCCAAGTAGTAAAACAAAATTTCAAGGCAGGTAGGGTTACATGGCTCGGCAGTCTTCCAACTTCTTTTTCTTCATAGCTGGACTTGTACCATACTCGGATAAGCCAAATCTATATTTGTAGCTTGCTCACTTTTTGCAAGATTTTTGCATTTCTAACTGGTTGTAGAAATCAGTGATCTAGCCTAGCAAAAATCAGCATTTTGAATGCTGATTTTCTACACAGTAAAGTCTTACAGCCATATTAAATTGAAACACTGGTTCTTATACAATTACCAAAGTTAAGCAATGTCAAGCCTGGTCAGTACCTAGATGGGTGACAGCTTGCGAATCCCAGGTGCTGTAAGCTTCGATGTGCAGGTGGTGTAATGGATAACAGCTTGGGAGAGCCAACTTCCAATTCCAGTTGGGTTTGTTATATTCACTTATGTACAAATACCTTTGGGAAAGGTATAAATCCATTACTTTCTCCTTGCAGCTATGGGTTAATTAGTAGGATTTGTATCAGTAAAAATCATTATTACCTTGAAAAAATTCTTCAATCTTCTGGCTTTAAATAACAAGTAAAAGGTTGGTAAGCAATAAAAAAATTCAAATCAATCAATCAAAGCAGAACACAATCTTCATCTTTTATTCCTGTTATTTGGTCTTGTGATTTACTAAACTGCATTTGATGATCACATAAATACTGTATATATTGGTATATTTGAACCTGACTATTTACATTTAATATTACACTAGAAACACCAGTAAGAATTTCATGGTTTTCCTATTTGAATTTTCTGATGAATCTTTATTTTTAAACTAATGATTAAATTAAGCTCATGGTGAGTTCTACAAAAATGAAATATCCATAGAAATCCACCTATCACATTATTAAATATTTGATCTTAACAACTTTAACAAAATATTACAATAACAATCATAAATATGAATGCTGGTTGTTATTTTAAGAAGTAAAGGGGTATAAATAAAAAAAAAAAAATTGAAATTGACAATCTTTTCCATTTCACTGAAACAGATGCTAAATCTCTACTTTCTTACTTTCATTTTCTCAGTGAAACCAAGTAGTGTCTCTGATATGTTGTGAGTTGCCTCACTTTATTAAAAAAACATCTCTAGAGGACACCCCTTAAAACTATAAATAGGCAATGACATTTTCAACCATTCTGTTTCCTTTCCTACAACTCTGGCTATAAGATGTAGTTGCACATGGTAAAAAAAGTCTCCCCCAATGGGGCACATTCAATGTATTACTTTTCTCTTAGACTTCTACTACACAAACTTCATACACACAAACACGTTCTCTAGTTTAAATGTTTTCTTTTTTGTTGTCATTGTATACTTTTGTTAATACATACATTGTCATTTGTTTTATATTTATATTTGGAGTGTGCTAATACTGTGCAACGTGATACGAATCACTGAATCTGTATTTTGGGTTAATACAATTTTTCAGTATGTTTGTTTGGTAATTTCTAATCCTTGCAGCAAGAATCAAACTTTTGGTTTCGGCATTTAACCCTGCATTATGTAACCACTGATGGGTACAGGGTTTGTCTACATCTGCTTGTTTGGTATGAGCAGCGTATTGACCATGAAGAGGATTACCTTCCCATTGTTTTTGCATTTGGTCCATTACACTTGCTTTTGCTTTCTTTCTTAGGTTCCTTGCTGCTGCAGTAGATGTATTATGGTTTAAATACTTTTCTTCATCTACTTGAAATTCTTCTACTTCATATTATTATTATTATTATTAATAATAATAGGCATTCGTTTATCTCATGAGATAAAGGTAGCACTCTGTCTGGTGAAAATTCAGTCTTTTGATAGTGAAACAATAGTGACCTCTCAAGTTGCAGCCCTGAGCAATAGTATATAGAGGCTGTGTGTTACCCAGATTACATATCCTCATTTTAGGTTGTACCGACAAAATCCAAAGGAATATAGGGTAGTACATTTGGTGGGTGGTGGCTTGGCTGCAAGAGTTGCCAGAAAGTTTTCAGTCTTAACATCCAACCACCTTTGAGGCTCCACTCCTGGTTTTCTGCCTGGATTTATTTCCAAAGACTTTTCTGTGTTTTGGATATTAACAGACTGCAGTGGAGATTAAAAATCAGGGTTTTCCTTCTCCTAAGTGAGCTGCATTTCTGAGCTGTTGAGCTCCATCTACCCAAAACAGCTGGTTATAAGGTGCCAGTTGTCCACCATCTCCCATTCTCCATTTTATATACTGTTTTGTGTTATTCTATTTATTACTCGGACTCATATTTGAGTCTGCAATAATTGTTACAAGAAAAATATACTAGGAGACACATGTTTTCTACCTAAACACAACAAGCATTCCAGCAACAATGTCTTTTCCATCTTTACATGAGATCAAAATAGAATAGTTCATTATTTATGTGGTATTGGCAGGGCATAACGGTCGTGCTAAGTGAGGAACAAGTAGTATTATAATAAGTTAGCCAAGGCCCCAGTACTGGTAGTTTATGGTATCTGAGTGAGCATCAACCTCCCAGATATCTACATTTTGCATATAAAATAATCTTTTACATTCAATATTCTAGTATTATGAAATTAGCTGAGGTTCAAGTACTGGTTGTATTTGGGTAAACAACATACCAGATACCCTCACTTTGTATATAAGTCACCCTCCTTTACATTCAATATTACAGGGTTATGTTGGACTGGGTAGAAATAATGGTAGTCAATAACATCTGAGTAAAAATAAGCCTACCATATAGCCATGGTCAAATTATCCTTTAGGCTAGTATAGACTGCAGCCTCACGTTCCTCAAGCTTTTATAAAGCAATGATTCAAATTTTCTAGACATTATAGCATTTAAATAGTTCCATAAACTGAAATGATATCAAGATGACAAAGTCATATTTATTCTGATTGTTTTATTGTTATAATGCTGGTTATAAACAATCTTTTTTTTTTTTTTTTAAATACGGTTGTGTTGAAATATGCACCAATTTAGTTTGCAATAAAGAGTAAAATAATGATATTTCTTAAAGAATATTTTTATTGATGAACAAAAGATAGTTATTCTAGCTTATTTAAAAAATTTACAATACATTTATTTCAAGTTATGTAAATGTCACTAAAATAAAATCACAAGTAAAAAAAATATAAAGACAGATGTGGGTGAGTTAGAGGCTGGCCCCATAATTTCATTAACTTAGGGGGAATTAAAAGGTCATAATCTGGCTTTGCATATATCTCAGTTTCATATATAAAACCCATGCAATATTTTTTTTAGATATATTTGTGGTAAAAAGGGATGCTTTTATTTTCTATTAAATATGTGATAATCAATGTTTCTTTAGATGTTTATTTAATGTATTTTAAAGAGAAGGAAGATTAATTATTTTAATTACTAAATGTTTTTTGTGTGTGTCTGTATAAAACTATGCATGCAACATGCCAACAAGAAACATATATTGCAAAATGTTTAAGATTAATATTACAGATGTTATAAAATGTTTTAAATCTATTAAATGTATTTTGTTACTAAATACATCTTCAAAAAATATATTCATAAACTTACCGATTCCAAATGAACTTGTATTTTCAGAAGAGCTTTTAGAATCTTTGTTTTATTTTTCTTCTACTTTAATTTAAATGTGTAGCCTTTTATATAAGCACAGTGGAAAACATTAATAAAATTTCCTGACTAAATCATCCATCTCAGCTAGAAGTAGATTTAAATGTTGGTAAATTCAAGAGTCTGCTGCTTTGAGGATAAGTTATTCGTGTCTGGGAGAAGTGAATGGATAAAGCTTACATAAAAACCTGATATAAACATATGTATATATTATGAAGTTGATATTTGTGTAAACGGAACAGACGACTGACTGTTATAGGTAATTACTAAGTCACAAAGAAAATGACTAATTCATTCCTGTATTCTCAAGAAATCTTTCTAAAGACTATGATATATATGATGTATTTATTTCAACACCCTTTTGATGTAGAACGTAAAAGTGTAATCGTATATTAGGCAGCAGTATGAATCACAAATTTTCTCTTTTGCTGTTAACAGGGTTCTAAACATTCTGTGATTAAACTATTCAATATTTTTTTTCTTTTTTTTTGTCTAATCAATTTACCTCAAGCAAGGCTATAAAGCCACTAAGGCGCAAGGGATTACTGAGTGTTAGTATAATAAAAGAGCAAGAATTAAGAAGACAGAAGATCATGATTGACAGTACATTTAAATTTTTGAATATCAAAGTTGATGGAAGCAAGATGCAGGAAAAGAGTTCCACAAGTGAGAAGTATGATAAAAGAAACTGTTAGAAAAGAACTTACAGTTACATCTTGCAGCCATTACAACTGTAAAATAATGAGACCTTGCTACCAATCTAGTACTGCACTTAAATTTCTGAAGTCTTGGTACCATAGAGGAAAGTTCATCAGAACAATTACCATGAAAGAATTTACAGAAAATACACGGGGAAGCTACATTAAGGCAGAGGGAAAGTAACTGAAGGCGAGATGCCAGGTCAGGAACAATAACATTGCAGATTCTTCTTTGGATTTTATCAAGAATGTTTGAAATTATAGCAGAAGTATTTTTCATTGTTTTCTTATTCTAAATTCGTTCCCTCCATCCAGTGGTGATATTGATTTTCCTGTCAAGCCATCACTCCTCTTCTCTCAAGTTTATTTGACTCCACATATTGTTCCTTCGCTGAATAAAAGACTCAACTGCACAACAATTTAAATATCTGAGATGTGTTTTAACAGAGAACGGAAAGTGTGACAATGAAATCCGATGGCGCATCTGGATAGCAAAAGATGCATTCCAAAAGCTAAGCAGAGTATTAAGAAACAGGAAAACTTTGTTTGAAACAAAGTAAAGAGTATTGAACTGTTACATGATATCTGTCCTTCTATATGGCAGTGAATGCTGGATAATCAAAGCTGAAGAAGAGACTTGAAGCAACAAAAATGTGGTTCTACAGAAGGATGCTGGGGATTGCATAGACCAAACATGTGAGAAATAACAAAGTTTTAGAGAAAATGGAAGTGAAAAGGAAACCTGTACTTAACATCAAGAAGAGATAGTTGAAATTTCTAGGGCACATAATGAGGAAGGAAGGAAGGCTTGGAAAGTCTGATACTCACAGGACAGATTTAGGGAAAGAGTGGCAGAGGAAAACAACACATATCTGACTTAGTGAACTTGAGTAAATGAATGACAGAACAAGGTTTAGGAGAAATAACAAAAAGACAAAATTTATTAAGAGCTACAAAATGGCAGGAAATAGTAGAGAGCCATTATCGTCTACATCTGAAGGGATAGAAGAATTAGTTATTTTGTTTTTACTGTTA